AGAGACACTGGGCTGAGTTTTTCCTACTCCTTAGAAGCATGTGGTGTGAAAACCGACAGCAACCCCCACTCCCATTCCCCTGTGCCTCAAAGCAAAGTGGGAGGGGGGAGGTGAAGAAACCGGGATCAAAATCTGAGCCTGGGAAGATGGGAGGGGGGTGGGGGGAAGGTGTTTTGACTTTAAGATCTGGTTGTATCTCCCATTGTTCTATTCTGATGTTGGTAACAAATTAAAATTGTTTTGTTTTTATTCCTTATGATGAGTCTGTCTTTTGCCTGTGACCTTTTTTAATGGTGAGAAGCCCTCCCAGTCCTTATTTTGACTAGCCCTTTTTGGGGCATCGTGATGCTCAGTTATGCACTGGGCCTAAACCACGACAACTGGCTAAAAAATAGTTCAGAAATCTATGATGTAAAAACCATACATATTTAAGGAGACAACACTGACCATTCTCTATCCTCTCCACTCATTACTGGCTGGAAATGGTCATTTGCCAGCGGGACATGTTCTGCCATAATCCCACCTCAGATCTGCAAGGCCAACTCTTGTGCCAGCCTTCGTGAATCACAGAATCACAGAATCTCAGGAGTTGGAAGGGACCTCGAAAGCTCATCCAGTCCAACCCCTGCCAGAGCAGGATCACCTAGGCCAGGTCACACAGGAACGTGTCCAGGTGGGTTTTGAATGTCTGCAGAGAAGGAGACTCCACAACCTCTCTGGGCAGCCTGGGCCATGCTCTGCTCACATGGAACCTCCTATGCTCCAGCTTGTACCCACTGCCCCTTGTCCTGTCATTGGACATCACAGAGTGGAGCCTGGCTCCTTCCTCCTGACACTCGCACTTTACAGATTTATAAACATGATTGAGGTCACCCCTCAGTCTCCTCTGCTCCAAGCTAAAGAGACCCAGCTCCCTCAGCCGCTCCTCATAAGGGAGATGCTGCACTCCCTCCATCATCCTTGTGGCTCTGCTGGACTCTTTCAAGCAGTTCCTGTCCTTCTTGAACTGAGAGCCCAGAACTGAACACAATATTCCAGATGTGATCTCACCAGGGCAGAGCAGAGGGAAAGGAGAACCTCTCTGACCTACAACCACAGCCCTACTGATACACCCCAGGATGGCATTGGCCTTCTTGGTCGCAAGGGCACGTTGCTGAAGTTGTGAAACACCACAACTTCAGACCCGGGGCAGTCACACTGGACTTGAAGCCAAGGGCACTTTGGCAGCTCCTTCCCAAATTCAGCTGGCAGCCCCCAGCAAGAAGAATCCCTCAGGACACTAAAATTAGGTATCTATAAACCTCCCTTCTCTGCCATCCTTGCTGAGCTCCTCTTCCCTTTTGGCTCTCCAGGCTGTACGGAGGAAGGCCATGGGCTGAGGAGCCAGGAGGCCACCAGGCCCTGGTGGTGTGCAGTAACCACTGCAGAGAAACAACTGTGCTCACCAACCTGCTGCTCCCCTAACTAGCACTATTATCCCTGTACGGGGGTAAAAGCATATTTAACTGTTATTTAACTATATAACTGTTAGCCCGTATGAAAATGTTCCTCAAGGAGGTTGTCACTTGTTGCCCAGCACTGTGTCACTGCAGCTTCCCACGGGAGGGGAAACCTACCCAAGGTTTGGGTCTTACCATCCTTTTGTTATCCTGCTTGTTAATGCAAACTGTAGACTCCTTGATGACAATGTGGGTGATTTCAGGAAAATAGGAAAAATTGTTCCACAGGTCTCGAATTTTGTGTTTTTCTTCATCCTTTTTGTTTTTGACATCAGTTTTTTTCTTCTTCTCTTTCTCTGTCTGTACAGCCTGCAAATACATTTTGGATAAAAGTATACTCCTAAAACCGTATTTTTTAGCACAGTGTTTTTACTTTGAAACAAAAATTCATGACAAATTAATCTTCCACAGCTATTTAATTCTTGAATGCATTTATCCACTGAATTATCAATTCCTTTACACATTCAGTGTATCTGTGCTGCAAGGATATACTTCTATCAAGAATGGTCCATGAGACAGCTTTCTTGAGGATGAAAGCAAGCAGCTATGAGCTACACAACTTACCTCTCTCGGCATGCTAGGAATAAATTTAGAGCAGTACAGGACTGAAATTTCTAAATTTTATACTTGAAATTCTCTCCCAGAGCTCAGCCCAAAAGCAAGAGCCACATTCCTCTTGTACTACATGCCCGAATTGCCGACAGCAGCTGAAATTCTGCATGCAGGCCACAATAAAGCTGAGCATCTGACAGGCCAAAAGTTATTGAGTATTATTAGCAACTGCTTATTCTAAAAAGATAAATGCTGAGGCTGAGCAAAGCATTCTGCTGGCCACAGAAAGGTTCTCACTGAGATGAAAGTCTTTGGTTAAGGCATTTCAATAATCTATAAATCAGCAGAAACAGGAGCCTTACAAGAAACAGGCTGCACTTCTTGCAAGCTTTTCTGCTCAAGTATCAGTTCTTCCTTCCCTCCCCTCATTAATATTATCATTTAAAACAGAAATTCTCCATCAGAGATAGAGATAGGTTACATCTAAAGGGAGTGAAGCACTATATTTTCTATGTTACAAAAGATAGCTATCAGTAGAGTTCTCACCAGTGTGGGGAACTGAGGCAAGCAAAAAAGGTCTACTTGTTCAAGTGTTATATGTGGAGAAAAACTGCAGAATGTGCCATAACCCCTGCAAACCTAGAGCATATTTAATATTTGTGTAACAAAGTACAGAAGAGGTTATGCTGATCTGCAGTGTCTGAAGACCACAACCATGCTTTAACAGATTTTGTGTCCCCCAAAGCAATCCTCTAATTCCCATTTACCAAGGGATACTTACATTTGGCTTGAGCCTCCATTGAATTCCATTGTTTCCCGTTACAATGACTTCATAGAGCGGGAGGATCTCATTGTCTCCGCAATTAATTCTGTTTACTTCATTCTCAGATGAAATCAGCAAAAACGAAGTCTCAAAAATCTCTGCTCCATAATGTTTAGTCAAGGTCTCCATCGTTGATAAGTATTTCACTTTCAGGTCACGCGGAGACACGTTACTGTCACAAATGGTTTTGTTGTTGAACTCTTTAAGGAAATGCTTGAAAACATTATTTATCCGAATCCTGGTTAAGAAATTCCTCTGTCTGATAGTCTTGTTCAAAGTTTCAGGAATGTAATGCTTGTAACTAGAAGGAAAAACAGCGCTATGAGCTAATACTGCTGTATCCTAAACTTTTAACTCTCTAAAATGTTAGAGATCAAGACGCAGTAAGCCACTGTGCAGCAGGTTCTGTAGCAGTGGTTTACAGCATCAATAGCCACCAGGAATTCAAATAACAACCTTATCTGAAAGCTTTTGTGTCAGATGGATACAGCCCGCTCAAATCAATAACACAATTTATTCTATTCATTAGGCTGCCACTTAACACCACTGCCATTTCGGAACCTGCTAACCCAGAACTCTGAATTTACAGTGAATCAACTGGTACCCAGCACATGGGCGTGATGGGTGCACTTGCTGCACACAATTCAGATACTCTCCAGGTAAGAAAAGAAAACAAGTTTTCTAATAGATATCCCCATTGACAAGATTAGAAAGACAAGGAAGTTATTCCAACTTACCTGATATCTTTGGGAAGCTCCGGAAGCTTCACATCCTTCTTGATGGCATAGTGAGAGATGGCAAGGACAGCCATCCCCAGGCACTCGTTTTCAATTTCATGAACCTCTTGATCATTTTTAGGATCACGGATTGGTGCCAGACCTTTCACTAAGTCATACTGACCCTTAATAGGAAGCAAAAGAAAGCAAGCTACCCCATTTGTTACTTGTCATGGTTTATCTACGAGCAAGATCACAGGCTCTCCTCGAGCAAGAAGAGTCTGTGCCCTGCAATACAATAACCCACCAAGAAATCACCTTTTTTTGCAATTAGCTAAAGAAAGCACCACTCCTGTCTGCTGCTGGCACCATCATGACTTTTTTTTATTACTCAGATACTTTGTGTCTCTGCTTTATCTCTGCCCTTCATCTCCTGGTGCCTCCACGAACCTAATGCACTCAGGCTCTAAGCCACATCTCAAAGCCAAGATTGCAAACTCTGTGGCAGTCCCTTGCTCTGAGACTGCCTGAAAAATATCTGGTTACCAAAGACGCTTCTGTTGCCTTGTATTAGCATCAGTGTTTTTCTGTTTGGCCTGTCGTTTTAAATGTTATTACCCAAAAGTTAAATTCTGCTTAATGCAATATTGTTGGATAATATCCACGAGAGTCCCTACTCATTCTGCAACTTAAAAGGTGTCTTCATTCTTTTTTGCTGGCACTCAAAAAAGGGGGAAAAAAAGGACAAAAAACAGTTTTGCAGCATGTCCATATTAAACAAGGCATAAATTAGTTTGAGTACACAAAAAACCAATGTATTTGCTTCTTTTATTGCTTTATAACGCAAGTGGTACCATTAAAATGCACACACAGCTGTAGCTAATGGTGTTTTCTTTTACTGCGGTTTCACAGCAAAACGAAGATTCACTGGAGCAGTTTCACTCTATCTTTTTCTGAAGGTCACAACCATATTTCAAAGCCTGAAAATCCTGCAGTAATTATACTCAGAATTAACAATAATCAATGTTTTTCTCCAATGCATTTAATTTGCTCATTTCAGAAGCCTGCATCATCTTCAGTCTTCCCATTTTGGCAAAACCAGTTTCTGGTTTGCAAAATCATTTGCAAACAGATTTTTCTGTACAAGAGCACAAGGTTTCTGAAATAGGGACCCTGCTTTCTTGCCATGCCCAGCGTGCTGCATGTACCACCACCAAGAGGCAAGCACAACAGAAGGGAAGAAAAACTGCATATAAGCAGGTTGGGGTATTTTCAGTCAATATTTTAACATGACACAGCAAAAACAATCATTAAAATGACACCACACTGTCAGTTTTAATGCTGCTCCTCTGTAAGACTAGAGGTGTCAAAGTTGTTATGTGCAAATGTTTTGCAAAAGTAAAGGTCATAGCATTCACATCTAAAAATAGTTAATATTAAAATAAAGTATGCTGTAAAAATACAGCCCTTTTTGGACTAGGCGATAGTTAAGTTTCTTTACACATTCTGCATGTGGGTGGATTGTTCTTTATGCAGCACATTCTCTTCTCTCCACCATGCAGAAGTATGAAGAAAACACTTATCGATACCAAAAGGTAATGTTACACAGTCTTCAAAAGTTTGAAAATAGCTCTTTAAAGCTGCTTCTACTGTGTCAAATAGTTTGTGTGTCCCTACAGCAGCAGAGATACTTGCAAACAACCCAGTACCTGCGCGAAGATGTACTCTAGTGAGTAGGCATCCAGTATTGGGGTCCCTTCTGGCGCCAGCTTCTTCTCGTCGGAGTTCTTGGCCTTCCTTAGCGAATGCCTCCACACTGAGGGCTCGTTTTCACTGGTCCCGTGCCAGTTTGTGAAGTAGTATCTTGAAAAAAAGAGTAATACACTTCAAAAACTTTTGCAAAATCCTCCCATTGACATTAGATACACATCTTAAACCAGGTAGAAGTCAAAAATCCATCAATCCTCTGCCCTGAGGCTGCAATCTGAAGTGGTCCGGAGCTGAACCCACATGCATGGCCTGAGGAACTGGGGGAAATGGTGCATTAGTGAGAGGTCTGCAGTGTTTCCACCACTCAAAAGCATCTCACTCTTAACTCCCGAAACCATCACTGCCCACCCGTTGCATCCCTGCGCAGTCCACCCAAAAACAAGCCACCACTCCAATGCCAAGTGCGTTTCCATCACCTCTGACATTGCTTGAGCAGTGGAAAATCACTGAATTTTTTGAGTTGTAGCTCTGTTAGCCCCTTTTGAGAAATCTTTGCTTAAATTATTCCAGAAAGTTGTCTTTATCTGGGTTCTAGTAACATTTAAATCAAGGAAAGTCTGGTTAAATCTGGTTTGAATCAAGGTGCATTTTGCGAAGGTTCATGCCCTGCACATTACCATGAACTACTTACAATTAAAAGGTTACAGCAGAGCAGATCTACCCAACTGCTGAGTAGGAATTATTTCGGTAAGAATATGTCAGTCCAGAGGAGCATATAGGTGTGTGTGTGTATGTGTGTGTGCATATATATATATACACACACACTACCATATGTAGTATATTCGAGAGTTAAGAGTGAGATGCTTTTGAGTGGTGGAAACGCTGCAGACCTCTCACTAACGCACCATTTCCCCCAGTACATATGTGTGTGTGTGTGTATATATATATATACACGCATCACCATATGATAGTGTGTGTGTATATACACTACATATGATAGTGTGTGTGTGTATATATATATATATCACAGATAGTGTGGAGATCATAGAATCACAGAATCGCTCGGTTGGAAAAGACCTCTGAGATCATCACGTCCAACCGCTCCTGTCTACCCTCTAAACCATATCCCTAAGTACCTCGTCTACCCGCTCTTTAAATACATCCAGGGATGGTGACTCCACCACCTCCCTGGGCAGCCTGTTCCAGCCTCTGACGACACTCTCAGTAAAGAACTTCCTCCTTATCTCTTAACCTGAACCTCCCTTGGCACAGCTTGGTGCCGTTTCCCCTTGTTCTATCCCCCATCACCTGGGAGAAGAGACCAGCACCCACCTCTCTACAACCTCCCTTGAGGTAGTTGTAGGTGGTGATGAGGTCTCCCCTCAGCCTTCTCTTCTCCAGGCTAAACAAGCCCAGTTCCCTCAGCCGCTCCTCATCAGGCTTGTTCTCCAGAGCCCTCCCCATCCTTGTGGCTCTTCTCTGAACACGCTCCAGAATCTCGACATCCTTCTTATAGTGAGGGGTCCAGAACTGAACACAGCACTCGAGGTGCGGCGTGTGAGATATATATATACACACGCAGTATATATTATCACTATCTGTATATATATCACTGAACTAATACAAAGGGTGGTGTCAAATCAGACATTTCTGGTGAACAGTGACCACCGTGAGCGTCACATAATTTATTTCACATTACCATGACATCGACAGCAAAGCTTTTAATGCCTACCTAAACACGCGACCAAAACCATGAAGAATCTCTGTGACCAAAACAAGATCAAACAGCTTTACACAGGAAAAAGACAAGTGAATGGGAATATTAATAGACACTGTACACAGAAGTAGCAGGAAAGAAAAAGTGAGTGGAAAAAAAATCTAATTTTAGTTAGAAAATACTGAGGCATGTGATGGATATGTTCTACTCCTGAATTGGAAATACACGTTTTCTGCATTGAAAAAAAAAGCTGAATAGATAAACTGCCTTATACTGTGCTACCTTATATTCTACAAACACATTTTGAGATTATAAACAAGAAATCTGTTTAAATAACAAATCCCTCTGTTGCCCAAGCAGTTTCATTTCAAATACAACACAATAAAATTTGCAAGAGAGGTGTCCAGGAAGACAGCAGGAAGGCAGTAAGAGCACAACAAAATTAGGGAATTCAGTGCAGCACCATGTGTTTTACTCATGTGTTATCTGCACAGTAAGTTGACCATTCCAATGAAGAATTATGTATCAAATCACTCTTACAGAGATGAGACTTGGTTTTTTGACCCTAATTTTCTCCTTTTCCTATTACACTGCACTGATGAAGACAACACAAGTTCCAATACAAATGAAAGTCCCCTTGTTTGAGGAACCATATAAACAAAAAAGGACCATCTCTGCTACTTCTGGCTTAAACACAATCCAGCTGTGGAACAGCTGAACTCCTCCTCCGTCAGCTGGTGTGCTAATTAATCCAGGATATTACAAAATGCTGCGGTTTCTTATGTTGTAGATCTATTTTTTTAAACTTGAAGCAAGTGAAATAAATACGACGGTAGTTAAAATGTTTCTAGTAAAAAGCAATAAATTTTAAAATATTACCAAAAGTATAGCAGCTGGCACAGATCTGATGGGAGAGGAGGAGGACAGGAAGTCCACACAATCAGAAAGCAAATCTAAAGCTTTCAGCAGTGGGAGAAAAATCAAACATCTAAAAGCATCTGAAACTATTCAGTCACATACCTCCCTTTTATTCATATAATGTATAAAACATAAAATGTATGTATGTCTACATAAGTATATACATGTATATAATACAGGACTAGATCAAATCAATGTAATGAAATTTCAGAAATAAGGTTGTCCACATTAAAGTATTTAGTCTCAAAACGATTGTATACAGTCTAATACACCGCATTATTAAATAAGCCACCACCATTTTCCTTTTTCCAGAGGAATTCTGCCTCTCGCAGAGCTCAGAATAAACAACACTCATTGAGAGAACAGTTTCACAATCCTCTATTGCTCATAATTTTTCAGTGCTCTCAGTTCGGATGCCCAAGCCAAGACACACAACAGATCAGAAATGAGAGGAAAATAGCACTTCACCAATCCACTACAGGATTCCTAGGCAGATGGGAATCTTTTGATTTTAGTGCTTAACTCTTCTTAAATGCATATGAAAGTATTTTAAATACTTATTAATGGCCCAAGGGTTGCCAATTTTCATGCATGGAGTACATCTGACAAAAGAGACACCCTTGCCAAACTTCAAATCCCAACTCCAAAGCTTCAAAAAGTAAATCACCAGAACTTTTAAATACAGAAAACATTTTCCATAGCTTCATTCTATAAAATAGTAGAACAGAAACGTTTCCAGGAAATAATGCTCAACATAGATTAATTTTGCCGGTATACCCAAAATTCGATAGAGTCACAAACAGCCAAAGGTTCATAAGAGAGAGCTGTTCAAGTGGTTTTAAAGATGGTGAAAGTACCTGGAGCCAGCTCTCATCATTCACACAAAGCAGAAGCACATAAATACCAAACACAACGGAAACTATTTTTTAAGAATTTAGTTAAAAACAGCGTCATATTTCTACTCAGAGGATTAAATTCCCACTACACTTCTAAAATACCATCTTATTTTACTGAGAAAAGCAGACCACATCACAGAATCTCAGTATCAGGGGAAAACGTCCCAGATTCACACTGTACCAAGCCATTTTTTAATTATCCAGTATATGGTTAATCTGACTGATCTCTTAAAGCAAGAAAGGGCCCTTAATGCTCTGTAAGAGGCCACTGGAGTCCCCAGCGCTTCTTGTAAAGTCACCCAATTCCATTAGTGCACGCTGTTTATCTGCCAAACTTAATCACAGCTGCTCAAAGCTGAGATTAGCCAGGGTTAAGGCATTAATACCACTACCAGACTGCGTTAAAGAAAAAAGAACAGACTGTAATACCCTCTTTCTCTTCTAAAAATAGGTATCGGTATTATAATTACTTGAAAAGTGAAGATCTTTTTGTTGACTGTCAGTTCATCCAATAACAATTCCAGTCTAACACAAATGTAATCAGAAATGCCTTACAGCTCCAAAATCACCTTTTCAAAGCTCTCTCTGTACCTGCACAACCTCGGTGGTTGTTATTCTCTCACAAGCCTAGAAAACAGTTTGGATGCACAAGCTGAGGTTTACCTGTTGTCTACCTACAGAGTAATCAGGAAAATATGTTAAAATCCATACGAGCTCTATCACCACTTGAAGTTTTTATCTACAGCCAAAACTGACCATGTACACGGGTATTACACTTTAAGGCAAAGACGGAAAATTACATAAAGCTTATTTTCTTACAGTTATATCTTGAAGAATCAACAAAAATGATCTGTGGACTGACTTCAGGAAGATGGGTAAAGTTTCTAGACTCATTATTCCTGGAAGCAAAGCTTATTTCATATATTTTTATATCATGTACATCATACACTTAAAGCTCATATCGATGCAAGAAGTCAGAATAAAGATCAATACAAGAGAGCAGCGTAATGTGCAGAATTAGATTTCTATCAAACCCTAAGAGCAGGCCATCCTTCAGCCTGGGTATGTGAGCGTGCCCAACAGTTGTCAGCATCACTGCTTTGATTTTCCAGCAGATGAGGGCTGGCGTTCCCATTCAGCCTCCAAAGTCTCAACAGGCTATGTGTTGTATTTTAAGTCCACCACCTGAAGTCCAACCTGATGGTACAGTGTTGGATAAAGGACCTGGGAAAAATGGTTTCTATTTTCTGATGCTTTCTCCAGTCTACAATATGCCACGCATAGGGAGGTCACAGAGATTGCCTTGAGGAGAATTTCAGAAGCAATAGCACGTTGCTTTTTCCTTTTGAGATGAGTAAAGTTCCCATTGACTTCAGCA